AACACTAGTCTTTCCAAACAGGACACATTTGTAGGCATGCATAAAAGTTTTTCTCTTGTAGAGAGAAGACCTAAAGGTCTTAGGGACATAAGAACACTGCAAATGAACATGAAGTATGCCATGTCAGCTAGTAGTGTCATAATACTGAATCAAGTTTACATTTCCATACTTCGTAGTGAAAACAGAACAAACTCAAAAGCGTTTCAGGTGTCTCCGTCCCGTTTGCCTGAACACAGGAACATTTGGTTTTATTTACAGATTCTCTAAAAAGGGCAACTTAATGTTTCCATGGGCAGGCAGCAAAAACAAAAGCAAACAAAGGCAAGAAGTCACCACATTGTACACACTTAGTATCTCTGTTTCAGTTAAAATGCTTGTTCAACAGGCAGGATGAATGAATCCTTCCCCCAGGCAGATTCTCAATTATTTCTCAAACCCATGCGATGCTAAATTGAGGTAGATTATTTACTTCTGCAAAGTGAGGTAGAACTTCAAGAAAAAGATAGTGGCATCTCTAGTTGTGCATTTTGTACCACAGCAAACTGGGTTTCAAACTCCCAAGGACTCAAAGACCAAAGGTACAATATTTGTCTAACGCAAGTACCAGTGTTCATTTTTTATACAGCTCCAAACTGTTCGTCTAAATATCTCTATCTTTAAATACCCCATTACCTTTTGGCACCATTTGGCTTACACTCCTTTTTAAAATAACAAAACAAAAAAAACCTCAAAAAACCCCACAAACCACTTTGGCACAATTTTTTTTTCTTTTTTTTCTTTTTTAAACCCGAACTGAACAAAGAAATCTTACGATCAAAGATATGGCAAGACAAGCCTATAAACCTGCTCTCTTCAGAAATTAATTTTGGTTTAACTGTAACTTTACAGACTGGGCCCATTTTCCTGCAATTCCAAGGGAATGCCACATCCAGGTGCCTTGCTCTTCTTTCTCCTGACTTGGTTATGCCTAGGCCCCAATATACATTCGCTTTCAGGTGTTGACCTCCTTTCCTTGCTTTCTTTACAAGTTTATGGGCTTCCTTAAATAAGTTACATTTAAAAGGTACTAAATAAAAAGGAGTGAATTGTCTGAAGGACCTGCATTATCAAGTACTGAGTCTGCTTCAGTTTGCTACTGAAGTTCCTGCTTAAATAGTTCTACGGAAGGACAAGATTGCTTCATAGGCTGAACCCAAACCATCCACACCGACTGCTGAGAACATTTTGTCTAGCAAGAAGTTTACTGAGAGCCACTGGTTTAACCTGGCAGAGTGAAATTCCTTTGGGAGCTCTAGCAGACAGGTCTGTCAGCCACATCTGTTGTTCCCCAATGTCAGAGCTACGAGAAAGAGGCACAAGCTCACCTCACCCTTCTCCAGGCCACTTCCACTAGAAGATTACTCTGAATGCTTGTTCAGTTTGCAATCCAGTTTCAAAGCCTTGCTTTTTGTCTCTGCATGCTTTCATTGTCTATATCACGATACTGGGGCATTAACCTGAGAACATGCATAGCCTGAGAACATGTATGGAAAAAACAGAGCGAGGTTTGAATGTCGTTTTTAGTATTACTTTCTAAAAGCCCCTCTGGGGCATCTGATGTTGGCATCGTATATTATCGCTACTTATTTTCATTGCATATAAATCACTCCATTTTATAAGCTACACTACCACTTTTCAGTGAGACCAAGTGTGCTTAGCACTATTTATGACAAAGATAAGGAATTCTTTTGGGTAGCTGAATAGTCGTGTTTTTAAAACGAAAAAGCTCCCCTACGCTTGAGGTCAAACACTTGAGGTTTGGTTTGTAAGGAAATCCAACTGAATTAAATAGACAGCAACTTAGAAAGAGTTCCTGACAGAGCTGGACCTGGGGTCTGTGCAATGGCTCCATACCAAACAGCAAAGGGCAGCTTCAGTGTCTGTCACCTTGTACACGGTGCAGGCTGGAGAGGGGTAAGAGGGTTTCTGCAGTTCAACATGATCCTGAATGCACACTCAGCTCTTTTTTTTTAATGCCTGGAAAACAACTCCGTTCTAGTCCCAGAGAAGGGGGAAACCCAACAAGCATTAAAGCACCAGAGCATTTCTAACACACTCCAACACTGTCAGCCACTCTGATCAAGGTATTAAGAGACCTGGCATTTTTATTAAGACATGATAAGATAAATGCAAGGACACTGCACACTAAATATTAAAGCTTTTAAAAACAGTTTTCTTTGGTATCAGATCTTGCAGGCTATCGATTTTTGCAGCCCAAGATGCAAATAATTCTTGGACTGAGTAATACAAGACAAACATGGACATCTGTCACAACTGCAGGCCACCTCCAAGAAGGGAGGCGTGTACAGAAGCAGAACTTGAAAAACTTGAAGGTAAACTAGCTTTCTCTCTTATCCATATTTTGAGTGGCCACACAAATTTAATGACAGACATCTGTATAAAAGATTATCCTTTAAAGACTATTTTTAAACCATGCTATCCTAAGATTAAGCCCAACTGAAACATACTGCTTTGAAGAGTTTGCTTCCTTGAGGCTTTGGCTGAAAGGCAGCACAGTTATTTTATCCTATTTAATTTAGGTATTTTTTCCTCACCCTTCTTTCAAAAGAGGTTTTGCCATCTCATGAATCTGTCTGTCTGTTTCTGGTCCTTTAGTTTAAGCCTCCTCTAAAGTGGCAGCTCTCTGTCTGCACACATCATCAGGATTTCTACAAAACCCAGAAAGTTAACACTCCTTGGAGGGGAAAAGCAGCAAGAAGGAAAGTGCACCTTGTGATTTCTCACAAACTTGTCAAGAGCCTTTCAATCTCAGGTCACTTTTGTGCATGACGGCTGGCAGAGAGATGAACCCTTTCCTTGGAGGATGGTTAAGGCTCTTCAGACTTTTTGATAGCGACCACGTTTATGTTTCAGAGATCCTCTCTTGCAAACAGTAAGGTAAATCCCATGGCATTCCCAAGCCTAAGAGTACTGATACATTAACTTTTCCATTGCAGAGAGGCAGAAAAGCCCTCTGTTCCCTGCTTTAACCATTCTTGTTTGCCACCAAACCCTCATCCAGAGGGTGAAACAGCAGCTCTGTAGAGACCATATCTGCATTAACAGCTAAACTGAAATGCAAGAAATTGAAGAATAAAACCAAATACCTCCAGGGACTCAAAGTCACATTTTGCTAAAGAGATCTCTCTTCTCCCAGAAAGTTTCTGCTTCTCAGAAAAACTGATTTTTTTTATCCCCAAAAAGGGCTAACTTCCCCCTGCCTCCAAGCTTTTAAGGATCATATACATTTATCTTACACAAAATTCTTTGGTACTGCCCTGGAAAAAAGCAGCAAAGTTTCATCTTGATACAATTTAGCTGGTATTTGGAACTTTTCACTTGGATCTGTAGCAAGAGATACATGGAGCTACAGGCCCACCCCACCCTAAAAACTACATTAGACCTTCCTGCATTTTTCAGTCCAGCTCTTTGGGGAAGCCAAGAGATGAAAAAAAAAAATATATATTTTTGTCACTGATAGTTATTGCAATCCTCTTTAAACACAAAAAAACCTGTCAACTTCTCCAAAACACACCCTGAATCTCCAAAGCTGTGCTTATTTCTTACACTTTTGGAAAAAGGTACCACTTCTGTTCTAACAAACCCATCAAATGTTATTCCCTTAAAGTCTCTCTATGGGGAAGGGCAAAAAAAAAAGCTAGTCATTTAAGAAGAAAGTAAATCAAAAGGGTTTGATTTTCCCAGTTTCAAGGCTCCTTGTAACCTCTTCTGTTATCCAGATTAGGTGCACTGATAAAAGAAACAGTAACTCTTTAAAAACTAATTTAGCTTTCAGGCAAAAAAAAGGAAAAAAGAAATACTCCATGACAGGATACGTTAAAGGAAGCCTCACTTTTTGTCTAAACTTTACAACAACTGCACTAAGCCACTAACAATTTGGTTTAAACTTAAAAATATTTTGTGCATTTTCATCAGCTTCACTTTGTGCTGTTGGATTACTGTGTTTCAGAAAAAAATACACAGAAATGCCAAAAAGATGCAAACTTGCTCTTCCCAGCAAGTGAATCCCACTCACTTTCACAAAACGTTCAAAGTCGTCTGGGAACAAGACGCTGTGCTCGCCAGTAAATCAAACACACTGAGGTATAAAAAGGAGAACAGGAAAAAGTTCTCTGCTGCAGCAGCAATTCAAAAAAACAAAAGTCCCCCCTCCCATGTCCCCACCCACAGAACTGCAGTATGGTCAAGAACACAAATTCTCTACAAACGCCTACGACCGTTTTCTCCGTTTAACAAGTCACATAGAGCCTTTTTTGGCTTAGTCTACAAGAATTCGCCACACAAACCACCTAATGTGCACAGCAACACTTGTTCGTGCATGAAACCCCATCGGGGGGAGAGGTAAAACGTTCTGAACTGTGAGTGTGTGGGGATGGGGAGGGGGCGAGAGACCAGGGAGGGAAGGGAGGACAATGAGGTAGATAGAATTTAACTTTACAGGCTCACTCCCTGCAGAAAAGACAAGTACATTCATCTGTAAAAAAATTAAAGATGAGGTAGGTTTGAATTAACGTTGTATTTTTTTCATTTTCTCTTAGAAGAATTTCCCTGAGACAGTTTCTTCCTAATTCAAACACAGATTAGAAGACAAGAATTCGATTGTTTCCAAAGTCGACCACAACAATCATGCCATCAGGGGTGACGGCTATACCTGAAGGACGGTCCATCTGACCAAAGCCGCTTCCCTGAGTGCCAAACTTGCATAAGAAGCTTCCATTTGACTCGAAGATCTGCACCCGGTGGTTCCTGGAGTCGGCCACGATGATGCGCCCCTCTTGATCCACCGCCACCCCCTGTGGGCGCAGGAACTGGCCGTTCCCGGTGCCCTCCGAGCCCAGAAAGCGTGCTGACTGGCAGTCGGGATGGATGACCAGAAGGCGATGGTTGTTGAAGTCTGTCACTACCAAGTGGCCCTCGTGATTGAAAGTCACACCTCTGGGGGAATCAAAGTGCTTCCAGAGTGCCCCTTCGAAGCCATACTTGTTAAGAAACACTCCGTCGGGCCCGAACAGCTGAACACGATGGTTCCTTGTGTCAGAGACCAGGATCTTGCCCTCTGCGTTGACGGCCACGTCCCATGGGTAATTGAATTGCCCGTTCTTTGTTCCTTTCTCCCCAAACTTCAGAATGAACTGCCCCTCAAACGTGAAGATCTGGATGCGATGATTGTCCTTGTCAGCCACAACAATCCTACGTGAGATGTCACAGGCCACACCAGCAGGGCGATCGAACTGGCCCGGCCGGGAGCCCAGCGTGCCAAACTTGTGATGGAAGGTCCCACATGGTTTGAACACCTGGATGCGGTTATTACTGCGGTCGGCAACAATGATGTAGCCTTCTTTGTCGACACTAACCCCCCAGGGGCGGCAGAGTTTGCCGTCGCTATCTCCCTCGCTGCCAAAAGAGAGCCCTGGCAGCCCAATGCCTATGTAGCTGCGCCCAGATTTCACCACAACTTTGAAGGGGCTGTTCTCAATGTGTTGGTTGCACATCATCACGGATACCAGGTGCTCTCCCTCTAGCTGTGGACGGTAGCTGACCAGGTAGGTCCCGTTCTGCTGATCACTGACGTCTGCCCCAAAAAGGTTTCCATCCGGGCCCATCACCACTGCAGAGATCATGTCACCCCCTGAAAGGCGAGGCTCACCATCATGGTCATAGCCTATCACTGTGAAAGAGGCCACCTTGCCCTGCAGCGCACGCTTGAGGCCTTCCCCAGTGGCTTTGGTCAGAGGAGCAAAAGCCCCGCTGCTGACGAAGCCCATTGATTTAATGGCCATATACAATGCCTGGTCAGGGGGGGTGAACATGATCCTGTCGTCTTCCTGTGGCTGGAGAAGGCCTCTCACATTCTTCAGCTCCTGCACCTGAGCCAGCATGCGGTCCCGAGCCAGAAGAATATCCATGGTACGACCTTCCTCCAGGACCTGCTGGACAGCACTAATTGTGTTGTCCAGCTTATTTAGGTTCTGACGTAACTTTTCAACTTGCAAGTAGAGTGACTTAGCCTTGACTTGACGAATCTTTTCCACCTTTGGTGGACACATGGGGGAGAGAAAAGCACACTTAGGTCAGGAAAGACAACCCGTAACACAGAAACATTTCATAATGTCACTCTTCTACATAAAAACCTGTTGTGCAGTTGTTGCAGCAAGTGGACACAGAACTACAGAACAAGCCTCTGAAAGCTGTGGTGGAGAGAAGCAGAAATGAGGAAAAACAACGATTTATCCAAATTCATATTACTGTTCTCTCCTGCCCTCCAGCCAAAATCACACATTCTTACACTGCAGATCTGCTGCATCACAGTGCCATTTGAAAGGAAGAGTCACTTGCTTACCAATAATCATTTGCTTCCTCAAATACTATTCTATTTTCTAGTTGCATGATAGATCATCTGAAGGTATGCCTTATTTAGATTCCAGGAGGACAGAGGTTACTGCAGGCTCTCAAAAAAGAGCAGAGGTTGAGGCTTCTCTAACCAGAATTGAGACCAATTTCAGGAAGAAGGTAGGCTGCTATCACACAAAGCTGAGGCCAGGAATCAGCATCAGCTAATGCACATGGGCTCTGTCATTCCCCTGGCTGCCAGAACTGTTTTCATGGGACTGGATAATACCAGACCTCTATCTCTAGGGATTTTTAGGGTCCAATTATTTTAGTATTTTCTTGCAACTACTGGCAGTCATGCCAAGCTAGTGCTTTGCAACAGGATACTTTATAATGAGAAGGCTGCTGCCAGTCCCTGCTTGGAGAACTGAAGCTCAAACAAAAATGGTTTGTTGCTGTTTTACATAAGCCTGTGCTTATCTTTACTTTTGAAAAACCACTTTAGACCATCTGGCAAAGACACCTGCCTTGCAAAACTAATGCAACATGTAATTGCTTTATTATTGCAAAAAATACATTTCCTTATACCTGCCTGGCTGCAGAACAATACCAGCAGAATATTTTAATGAGGGACAACTCACTGTCCGAAGACTCCTTGGTTACACACTTATAACAGGTGTACAAACATGCTATTTCATTTAAAGTTGAGGCACACACATTTTACCAAACTGTTAAAAAAAAAAAAGTGAGATGCTTCCTCCAATAGATTTAAAAAAAAATACTAATCTTAGGTCTCAGCTTAATCCTCGGCCTTAGCTTTGGTACCCAAAATTATTCACTAACACTCTTCACATGAGGGTTTAATACACTTTGTTTTTTTTTTTCCCCAGAATAATTTCCCACCACCATCACATTACCTTCTTAAAATAATGTTTTATAACTTGAGAGAACTTGCTCTGAGTGCAGACATCGCAATAAAGTGCATTTATGCGGCCTCTTGGGATATGAATCGCTTAGGGGCAGCTCTTACTTCTGTACTAGGAATACCTCAGAAGGCTGCCAAGCTTCTTGGGGAAGGCTAACAGTGTAAAGTGAACTCATCTCCCTCAATCCAAATACCTCAGAAAAAGCAGCACTAGAAGTACAGTAACTATATAAAGTGGATTTTTAATCTTGCCACTGACACCTATAAAAGAACTACAGCAAAACAAACTTCTTTTTTAGGGGATTAGACTCACTGTAGCTGGAGTAGTTCCATACAATAAACTCTCACCAGAGTGGTCACTTTGCTGGCAACAGATACTAGACCAGAAAAATTCCTGTTCCAGTCAATGTTGAAGGAAAAGAGGCAGGGAGAAGTACTAAAAAAAATTCTTGGCAGCATGTGCTTCACCAGCCACATGTACCTGCCACCCTGCCTTGCTCTGCTAGTACAGGCAGCAGCCACACCACACCTGGTTTCCGGACACACTTTACCTGGTATGACTGCGGATTATAGGAGCACTCCCAATTGACTCCTAAACTTCTCCCACACATTTTTGCTCCCCTATACCAGTACTAGCAACCATGTGGTCATAGTCAGTTTGACTCACTGATCTGAAAGACCTAATCCAACAGCAGATTGGGTTTCTGTTCAATTCTACGAGTGGGACTCAAAGGGCCAATCCAAACTAGTCTGTGCTAAACAAGCAGAGCCATGACCACTAAGTTACCTTTCTGGAATCAGAAACTTTCCTGTTACTTCCTTTCCTTCTCTCAAAATACTACACATGCATCGTGGCTGAAATGAGTGCAGGAGTTTGGGATTGTGCAGATACTCTTAATGGAGAGTATTCTTTTCTTCCACTAGTAGTGGGAAAAAAAAAATAATTCAGAAGGACACTACCTTGATTGAGAGCAAAGGAAGTTTTTAGGTGTGGGGACTGTGAAAGTTAGTCTTGCAGAATTTCTACTAATCTTTCTAAGGACACAGCATATACAGCTTTGCTCCTTTGTTTACGAAAAGTGGATCGTATAAGAAAACCTGTCTACTACATACCTAATTCTATAGAAACCTATTAAAGATGTTTTAAAGGCATTCTTTAAACAAGGTGTTTCTCCTGCGGTCAGTACTGGGATGAGGCATGGCTGCTGAGCCAGCAGAGGGAGCGCTCGCCCTGCCTGTGGGGCTGAGATTCTGGGAGGACACCCCAGGCCCCATAATATGCAAAACTGGCTGGTTTTTAAGAGGTACCTTCAGCACAAAACCAACCTGGGACAGAATCCAGCATCCTGCTACCTACAGAAAAATGAGTTTGCAGTAAACTGTAGTGTTTCAAATCAGTGTTCCTTGGGAGGATACCAGAATCTGGCCATGTACAAGTTAAAAAGCACATTTTGAAAAGACACTTGTCAGCAGTTCAAACCACAAGTGTAAGGGGCATACATACCTTCCAGAGCAGCTCGCACTCCCGCTATTCCAAGGCCTTCTTAAGTCTAGTAGTCACTGCTTTGACTTCAGACTGTACCACCTTCGCTTTCATCTCAACCTGCTCTGCCACAGCCTGGGCCTGTTCAATACTCAGCTGGGGGGGAAAAAAAAGACAGCACACTTAGGGCTCAACCAAACCAATGAGAAATGCACCAGAGGACAGCTGCTTACATTTCACAATGTCTTCAGGTGAAGGTATAAAGTGACAACTGTTGGTTTTTTACCAAGCCTTTGCCCATTTCATACATCAGAGCCTGAAAACTGACATTTAAAATATATATATATACACATTATTACATGGAGTTTATACCTTCACTGTACCATGCACTAACACCACAGGACTAAATTCCCTCTGCAGTTCCAGCAAGCAACTAGTATGAAACCAAGAGACACACACAAAAATTTACACTAATGTTTTCCTACATATACAGAACCCAAAGTTTGTCTTGTCCCTTAAAAAAGTTCAAACCATTGTTGTTGTGTGACGGTTCTACTTCTGGTAAGAAATGAGACTGTAGGGAATAAACTGTTTATCTATGCATATGAGCTGATGCACAGAAATACCCCTAACAGAATTTGAAGGTAATAAGATTGAAAAGAAAAAACAAAGATTAGATGGATACAATCAAAAAGCATTAATATAGTTATTCACACCTTGGATAGAGACCAAATTCTTTCCAATATAACCTTGTAATACTACTATTTTAAAAATATGCTGTAGTATAATTCTGTAAGTATGCAGAATGCATCTGGAAGGAACATGTAATCATCTAAACCTCTTTTATCCCCACAAATTAAAAATTGTTTTCTTAGAAGTCCTTCCCAAACTGCTCCCAGTTTCACAAAATATTATAGAAAATGGCATAAAACCAAACACAAGATAAAGAGTAGGCAAATCTGAAGGATCACAATTCCCAACGGAAAAGGTTCGATAGCATCAGTTAACTCAATCTTTTCAACACCTCTGTCATATAGTGAACCAAGACTTACTTTTTTCACAAGCTTGGCACAGTATTTTATTTCTAGAATTTAATAATGTGTGGCATACACAAGACATCTCAACCTCTACCAACACACTAAGCATGTCTGTAGCAGCTTGACAAGCAAGAATTTAAGTTGTTGACAGCTAAGAACGTAACTCACACACCTTCATTTTCCACATTATATACTGAAAGCCATGGAAATAGCCATTGGTATTTGTTTTTAAATACAGCATTTCAGATGAACTTTACAACACCTTTCCCTCATTCTGGTCTCTAAAACCAGATTTCACCTTTCAAGAACTCCATCATAGCAGGAGAGGTACTAATTCCCTTTGGATGCTGTGATCTTTCACCTGCAGGAACCAGTTACGAAAGGGCAAGTAGCTATACTCAACAGCACAAGGTTGGCTACTAACAGCTCACGTCATCATCTGGATTTATTTCTACTTGCTTGAGCCTGAACAGCTCAGATCAGTGAAGGATGCCCAAAACACTAAGGCTCTAGTATTGTCCAGGATGTTGGCAAAATTTTGGTAAATTTCAGATGATCCTGCACTCTGACAAAGCAGGCTAGAACAGCCTGGGAAGGCTGAGCAGCATCACACACACAGCAAGCAGGCAGTGGTACAGTGGAGGGGGGAATCACAATAGGCAAGTTAGCTATCTGAAGCAAAAGCCAAGAGCTTTAAACAACTTTGGGGAGCCTTCTTTACCCTGAAATAGCTTGTTCTCTTTGATTACTCTAAGATATCACAGCTCTGACATGCCATGATAACTCTCTCCTGCTGTTCTGTAGGCATTTCCTGTTCAGAACTTGTCTTGGAGAGGTCAACGTTTTAGGAAACATGTTAAGCAGTAGCATTTCTTGTTCTGACCAGACACCAAACAATCTTTTTAACAATAAATCCTTTTAAATAAAAACAGCTTTTACGATGCACTCTCCTCATGGTGTGTTGTAATTATTCCAGTGCTAGCAAATTAGATGGTCAGTCAGTTCACATGCTTGGGAAACAGAAGACAAGGCTTGTGTTTCACAAACTATCACTTCGGGTTACTGAATTTGAGATGGAGAACAACTTGTTTGCTTCCTACTGTTGGCCCATACAGTAAATGGCCTATTTACAGCTCTACCTATTCACTCGTGACTTCTCAGTGGCCCAAAGATGGCCAGTACCAATCCCCACTCTATTAGAGATGTCACCATTGCCTTGTGTTAAAAAAACAAATAAAGGACTTTCTAATGTACCTCGTAAACTTTAGGCTGAAACTGCTAATTCCAATTCCTCAGAGTAAAATTTAAGTAACAACAGTGTTTGTGCAGGTGCTATGTTCCAGAGGGCCACAACAAAAGGAAACCTTGCAAACAGAGTTTCCAGTGGGGAAGCAATGCAGACATCCACCACTAGCTATTGCTACCAGCACATTTTCAGAATTTCTTGCTCTTCTCTATAAAACTACCCAAGTAGCAACAAACAACATTCAAAACACAGACTTAAGGAGAAGAGGACAATGGCATGCACTATTACCTGTACTTTCAGATTTCAAAGCATTTAATGAGGATTATTAAACATGCAAGTCTCCGTTTTCATTCTCTGGGCATCTTGTACAAACAGAAAAGGCTACTTTGGTAACACCTCAAGGCAGCGATGCCTGCAATTCCTACAACATTTTACATCTAATCAGACCTAGCTCTGCATAAACACACCCCTATGCAAAGTGTCACTAGCACCCAGGGTGCCAGTATCTACACACAACCCGCTAAACCAGATGTTCATTTCCAGGACAAGACACCAGACACAGGCATGCCTGGCCAGTTCCTACATGCTCCAGCAGTCTGAGCAAGAGGTGAAGAGTAAAGCTGTATTGGACCTCAGGTGTCTTTTGCGAGCCCCCTTCAGGTGGGCACATCTTTAGCTATATTTAACCACCTGAGAGGGAAAAAAAAACCCCAAAACCTAGTGATGAAGCAGCTTGCTACAGTGGCTCTGACACAGCAACTGATGGTACAACACAGAGCTATGAAGAAACCAACTGCAAGAGACAGAAAGAGCAAAGTAGTATCATAGAACTTCGCTGCACTCCTGGATATTTGGGCTGACTACAGAGGGGCCCAAATCAGCATTTGCTTTTTTATAGACCGGCATTTTTCAGTCATTTTTCACATTTCCTGACTTCTACTGGACATTAGGAACTGGAGTCTCAAGTTAACAAAAAGCTTTCTACAATTTAATATTAATATTTCTATGAAATATTTAAATGTAATATTCTAGAAATATCACTATTCCCAAGTTTCCATTACTGTTACCTTTTTAAATGAAAAAATATGAATCAGAAGTATACAACACTCTGGGAGAAAGAAAAACCATTACAAAGCATGTGCTCTGACGGACTACAAACAAGAAATGCAGAGCTACTGGCAAGGTGCTGATACCCTCTCTGCATGGTTTCCACAGTCCAATACCCAAATTAAAACCAGTACATCCACACAGCACACTGTTTATTTAAAGAGGCCAACTTACGTCTCTGAAACAGCACAGTCTGTTAATCCAGATGCTGAGCCACAATGTTGGATTCTAACAATTCAGTTCAGAAAATTATTCATTTGAACACGCTGCCACCCAACATGCCACTGTGGCAACGCCAAGAGATGTGTAACGGCTGCTTATGGCAACTGTACTGCAACCCAACAATGCTGGCTTGCACGAGCATTTCTGAAAAGGTCCTTCGGATTTTTCATTTCATCCATCCAAAGATGGGAGGAAGTACAGTTTTTCAGGCATTAATTTGAATATTTAAGTTTGCTAATCCAAGTTTTCCAATGAAGGTGCAAATCTCTGGAGAGAAAATTCAAACTTGAAAGTAAACTTTGTTTTTTTCAGAGGAATCCTTCAGTAATTCAAGGGTGAATGGACCACAGGTGATGGCTAAAGAACCTTAAATACACACTTCTCTACCTCAGCATGGAGGGATTTACACTTTAAACATTAAGGAATTTAAGAGTAAGTTAATCCTACTTAGAGGGGGGAAAAAGCTTTGAGATTCATATTCTCTGGCAAACCCTCTCTAGACTTTAAAAGCACATTAAATACAAAAAAATTAAGGAAATATTTCCTTATATCTCAAGGTAGCCTTCTTTCACTAAATGCTAAAGGTGTTCCATCCATAAATAGTTTCAGTTCAGATACAGAAGGCTTGTTTCAAAGAACTTTTCCAACTACTTATCATTGTTTCAGAGCAGGATAAAGCAATCGGGACATAACAGTCAACTTTCTCCAGCATCAAGAACTGGACATAAACCTCCTAATGTTCTTATACTAGAAAAAAAATAATTGGAAGATCCTAAACAAAAGTCTAGTTGTACTAAAGATACCAGGATTAATAGTCTTAGCAGTGGCTTTGCAGTCATATTGGTGCAGCTATAGCACAAATCACAGTACTTGGACCAATTTAAGTGTTTCAGCCTAAAAAGTGTAAAATGCTAAAAAAAGTCTCACTTAAAGAAAAATTCTCACATAAAGAGAATTTTAAAAGACGCTTTGATGGGGGGGAGGGCTAGAGGTCAGGTTAACTCATCAGAAACCAACAAACAGTCACTTTGGTTTGTACTGCAAGAATAGACTTTTTGCCTGAAGTTTTAGGCAGAGCAGTAGTTGGACAGTGACACGTGTCAAATCCATCTTCCCCGGTAACCATCTGCTCATACGTTACACTAAGGAGCTCACTCGAACACAACACAAAACAATCACTAGGAAGTACAAAGATATTCAGCCTCTGTTGATGTAAATCCTAGGTTTAAGAAAAGCACAATTCACTCCATTTTGTCCACAAAGCTTCATTTCAGATTCTTAAACCTGCAAAAGCCTGACTTCAAAGCCACGCACAAGGGTGCCTGAGCTAACTCAATGTGACAACTCCAGAACAATTCCATGCAACACAGCGGTGCCATCCTTCTCAGGTATCGACCTCCAGGCAGCACAGATCCGTCTGGCAACCCACAGGGAAGCTTCCACTGAAGGACAGAGGCTCAAGGCAACAGATCAGCTTCCTCCTTTGGTTGGCCGTACCTCCCTCCCCCTTTTCCCCAGAGCAAAAGTCTTAATTTACTTCATACCACCTCCTCCACAATTTAGGAGAGAAAAGGCATTGCCTTAACAGCTGGCCCACCTTGCCACCAGCTCCTAAACCTCTCATGCTGGTAGATAGGAGAGCGGGTCCCTCTGTCCTGCGCGTGACCAGTCCCTCTGCACTAATTTACATATGGAAGCCCGCGCTGTCAAACATCCCAGAAAAAACAACTACAGGCTCAGCTAGCAAAGAATTTTGTTTTCTAATAAAGCCACTTTTAAGACAACTGTCATGAACAGATCAAATTTTATCACATTCACCTGGAAATTGACCCTAAATGGCAATAAGGACTCAAGGCTTTACTGTTACGCAAGTGCATTAGGTTACACTCACACATACATACATATATACAATTACACATGTATAGATGTATTTTAAGAACATGACATTTTGAAGAAGCCATCTATCTTTCATCATAACAGATTTACGTCCAGTTTGTAGCCTGGTCCTTGGAAAAAATTCTGGAAGAAGACATCTAAGTGTGCACTTTCGTGAGGTAAAACAAGGCAGCAGGACAAGGTCCCCCATATAGAAAGGCAGCAGTCCTGCCTCCCCCCACCCCATTAATCCAATGTCATCTTTGGCTTTCATATCATCCTGTGAATCAATTCAAGTCTCTGAAAAGACTAGAAAAGTATCCCAGCAAGGAGGATAGCTTTCCACTGAGACAAGAAAGAGGTCCTATAAGCAACAGCATTGGGCGTTCCCATCCCATTCCCTGGCACCATCGACAGTCCTGGTAGCACTGCAATGACCCAGCCAAAAGGTAATCCTACAGAAAGATTACCCTGTCAGCTGGATCAGCTCACTGCTCAGGCACACAAGTTCTTGTGTTAGGAACAGGCTTAGAAATGCATGATCCAGGCCAGGACCAGTGCAGCACAGGGCAGCAGGGGAAGCTTTCTATAGCTGCAGAACCTCACCGGGGAAAAAGCAGCAAGCCTCATGCTGCCAGGGTTACTATTTCTTACAGAGGACTTCAACTCCTTTGAAAAGTGAGGTTTGGACTTTTCAGGAGTGACAGACTAGATCAGGCTTCAGTGGATCAAGAGGCTGAAATGTATCCCAACTCACAGCATTTTTTTTTTTAAATCTGAAAAACAATCTTTCCTCTAAAGCCGCAGGAAGAGTTTAAATAAACATTTCTTCCTAAAAGCCTTCAACTTTGGTTAACCAGATACTCTCCAGCCAGTTGACTCAATGCTTGATTTCCTCTCTCATGCAATGCCCTTCAAATTCCACCTTTTCCCCTTTACTCCCAACTACTTCCTCATCCATCCTCAACCTCTCATGTCAGTCAGAGAGCTATCACTTCCAGAGCCTATTAAGAAAGAGTTACTAGTACAGCAGTATGAATCAGTCTCACTAAGGAGTGTTACTACACCGTATTACTTTTCAAGCCTCTTCAAGCTCCAGTCTATGTTCCTCATATTGCAGCTTCTACTGGCATTTAATTCCCTGTTGACTGTTTTCAAACTTCAAGAAAAGCACTCCAGCAAATTTCTTTTCATTTAGAGTCTAGTTACTTTAGTGTTTGTTTTAAATTCATGCTGACATGCTGTCTCCTCCCTAGGATAAATATACAGCTTCACAGCCCTACTGTCCCAAGAACAAGGAAAGCTCTGCTCCATGAAAACTTCCTTATGCAGCAGGCTCACTGCATCAGCTTTGGAGTCAGGCACCTCTACCTCTGCTTTTGACTACATCCTATGCTACTCCAGCTGTTGCTGATGTTGCTTAGGCAGCAGATGTCTTGAGTTGTACAGTCTTCCCATTCCTGCATGTGCATGCAGACTACCACCTCCTCAGCTTCTTCACTGATTTGCTCACTCGCTGCCCCTTTTCTGTACAGCAGCCCAGATTAGAAAGACCACTAACCTATGAATCACCTCAGTTCTATAAAAGCACAGATTATTTTACAGACTCTACACAAGCTGCCCAGTTAATGCTTCCAAGACAGCCTCTTAACCTGGATGGGCTGTAGCTATACCAGGGCAAAACTGCACAAACTAAGTTCAGCTCTGCAGCTTGTTGGAGTTACATGAGGGTAGCCAGTACCACCCACCCTTCACCTGTACCATCATAAAGTAGTCAGCTCTCCACAATGGCAGGAGCCTCCAACATAAAAGCCAGAAGAAAATGGAGGGGAATGAGTAAAGTAAACCCAGTGGGAAGCAAGCAGGCACAAAAGCATTCATGCAATAGTAGCAGAGTGGTACCCTATGATATTCTGCTAGTTTTTACTCCAAGAGATCCAAGAGACAGTCCCTTCTTAGAAGATTTATCTGCACCAGTTAGATGATTAAGAGCCCTGGAGGTCAACAGCAGTAATTTAATTACTAACAGACAAACCCTTGTCTAAGACAGCCTGGAGAAGTTCAAAACGCTGCACCAGTGAGGTTCTTTAAACTAGTATGATCCCGTTCTTCTTGCTCATTTTGGGGACATGCAAAATGTTTCAGTATGGGTTCTGCTAAATGGTCTTATGATCCAATTTAAGACAAACCTGGGAAGAAACTCAGGTTTGCAGGATTCTGTCTTAAGACGGCATTTTAAACTAGCCATCCAGCTCCAAAAACTTGGTGTTTGCTGTTCTGTTGTAACAAGTTAACAACACAAGCTAAAGGGAGACATCAGCAACAGTTTAATATCTGTACTTATTATTTCATCCACAGGTACAAAGACTTAAGGAGAGAAAAGTTAGCTGCTCTCATCCCACTGAACAAGCTTAAAGTTATAGCTATCTGACAGGTTAAAGCTATGGCTTTTTCTCACTTCGCAGTGAAGCAGAAACATTGTCACATCACAGAAACAGATCCAACTTCAAAACAGCCAGTCCCCAAGACAAACAGGCCCTACATCTAGTAACCTGCCCAGAGTACACAGGAATTCCGTAGTGCTGTAGCAAAGTGAGCCAGGAGAGACTGAAGGATCAGTCACTGCCAACAGCAATGGAAAGCAACACTTAACAGATTTTATTTAGCAAGAAAATTTAAAAGACCCACTCAATTCTCATCTACTAGAAACAAGCAACAATGACCAGACAACCGGTTTGTTTGGGGTTTTTATTTATTATTGTTTGTACCATGCATGTGCCAGAAAAGCACATCCAAATCAGAAAGTAAGTTTACTTCCTATACATGGCATTCTATCAATGTTTATTAAAAAAAAAAAATCTTATTAGTAAATCACATAGAAGTGTTGAGTTTCAGAATATTGAGCTTAAATCTAGAGCATTTGAGGCTAACAAAACTAGGAAGCAGTAGTGTGGAGATTCCCAGTATGCTTTCCCCATCCACAGTCTCTTTATACATGTAAAACTACTGCTAATATCATATAATAGTTATTACTAGATATTATTCTGCAAAAGTAACTATCTACATATCCCTGCAAATTAGCTCCCTGTGTAAATTCCTCCTGTAGTCTGAAGCACTGTACTACCTTCTTCTAGTCCTTGCCCAGTATTCATATTTGCATCCTAAAACACAGCCGAGGTAGGATGCAGTAACAGGCAGTTATAGGATGCACCTGTGTGTACAGAGTAATCTTTGTATGGAGATAGCTCCAGAGTCTCTGTACAGGTAGGTTAAAAGTTTCACACTAATCCAACAGCTGATTAGTATTTTATACTTGGTGGCAACAGTGAAGACATAACCAGAGTCACAGGTACACCACAGTGCTAGATACCGTACAGGCATGAAAGACCGCTGAAAATAAGCCTCAGTTGTAAAAACAAAGCCAGGCTTAGCACTGCTATACAAGATGAGAACTTCCTTCAAAATGCTTCACGCTTAAGTGCATTTGTACAGAGCTTCATATATATTGTGATTTACATGACAGGATTATGCTGCAAGAATGCAAAATTCATATAACAGCACTTTTGTTTTCAGCTCCACAGTCACTTCTGTCAGAGATCTGAGAGAACAGAAGGGGTGAGAAGACTGACAGCAGAAGCAGAGAGCTTTATGCCTTGACACCTTGCCCTGTAACAGACAAGCTGTGGGGGGAAGAAGGAGGGGGAAATAAAGTACTCAAGTTGGGAGTATCTTACTTGAATAGCCTGTCGTCCTTGCTGAGCATCTGCCAGGAGCTGAATGGTGAGAGTCCTGGAATCCTGGAGGGCATCTTGGAGGTAGATAAAGCTGTGACCCACATGTCGTCCCATGGTACATTCCCGACATATGGGGACAGAACAGGTATCACAGTAGAAATGCAGTACCTAGAAGGACAAAAAAAAATTAAAATGAAATTCTGCAGCACTGTCTAACAAAGAATTAAAGAGAAAATAGTGCCAGGATGAAAAAAATCCAACGGCTCATCTATACAGGAGATAGTTAGAGGCAGTATCAATAGGCAAAGTCTTCACAATGGTTTCTCCACAAAGGAAGAGCTATCCCTTCCAGTAAGCTCCAAATCATACTCTAACAGTTAGATGGATGTGTCATTGTTTTCTTTGCAATACAATACTAGGAAGAGTGTCCACATCAGCTCCTCTTAAGAGCGGAAGCCATCTGCCAACACTTGCAGATTGGAGATGTCATCTATGGCAAGTTTCAGGTGAAGACTTTTCCTGCATACACAAACACCACATTCTCTTAAGTGGGTCATTTAATAATCACTGCACTGGAGAACTGCAGCACCACCACACCCACCTCCCAGAAGGGGGAAAACAAAGTATGCATGCTGAGAACCATCCTCTTTTTTTTTCCCCCTCCCTCCAAAATACATAAATGCCTTATGCTCAGGGTAGTGACAGTATTAGGCAAGACTCCCCCTTGCCACTCCCAACAGCAAAGCAAAAAACCTTTGTCATGAGATAGCATTTCTATGCCAGTGAGACAGAGATGCTGAAGTTGGAGAACAAGACTGAACGTTGGCACGTCCATCAGAGCATCAGAATGCTACAGTGAACTGTGGGCAACCACTAGAGCTCCATTCTATTCACAAAGCACTTAAAACCCCTGTATTCCAATCACAATGAAAGTCTTGCACAAAATGTGAGCCTAGGAAGCTGGATCCATTCACCAGCCGTAACTGTTCCCATTCCACCCAGTAGAGGGAAGCAGCACACAGAAATAGCATCTTTCATGGATGTTTTCTTAGAGGCAAGCAGTGATCAGCTGCTTTGTTTTCAAAGATGCAAGTAAAGGAGTACAATACTTCAACAGAAGAAAGTTCTGTATTCAAAGTCTTGCTCTGAACTACATACACTATTTTGGTTAGAGTGTAATGATAGAAAATCCAGATTACCATGGAAGAGTCAAAAATCCACTATACAATGGCAAACAATGATCCATACTACAAACAGTTTTTCCATCACCAACCAGCTATTTGAAATCTACCTCAGAAAGGAGCAAGAGCAGAACAAAGACTGGACAAGTGTTTGATATGTCTGTCTTCTCACAGCTGTCATCCAGCCACTCCCGATTCCAGCTAACAGTTTGTGATACGGTGCATAACATCCCCCTTTCCATTCTCCCTCAAAGAAAGGGGGAGGACAGGACAGGTGATTCCCTCAGATTGCCTGTGCTGCATAAAGTGACATTTTAAGCTCCTATAAGCGCAACAGCTGAAGTGGTACATGGATTAATTTCTCAGAGAGGTATGCGTGCGTTTGTGCTCACATGTCAGATTTTACTACCTCCCCTTCTTTTTTTTTTTTTTTTTTTTTAAAAAAAA